ATGGAGTGGTGCCAAACCTATGCCTACATCTGATGTTTGTAGCCAGCCCCAATCTCTCTAATAGGCTGAAATGAAACCTTGGATCCAAGCAGATGGTAGGGCTGGAGATGTGAATCTGCCAGTGCTGCCGCATCCCAGACCTGCTGTTAGGGTGTGCAATACCCTCACCAGGGTTGGAAGGAGCTGGAGGCTGCCCCTTCCTACCCAACAGCATCAGCACCTTCACCCATCCTCTTCCTCGCTGCGGTGGGCGAAGGAAGGGCAGCAGCACCAGGCCAGGCTGCGTGAGAGCCCTTCCCCAAGCCCGTTGCAGTACCTGGCTGGCTCACTCCTGGCCCAAATAACCCATCGATCAATAAATCAGTGACCTATGTTGGCAGGTACAATAAAGGCTGTACACAACGATCATAAATCCTGGAGTGAAGCTCGCTCAGTAATGATTTAATCTAGATATTTAGTTCTGAAATCGCTAATTAAACTTCAGAATAAAGCATCCAGTGCAAAAGCAAGATGAATAAAAAGTAAAAATAAAAGTTTCTCCTGGAATAATTAACCATCATTAAAACATGAAAATCCAGTCTAGGGAGCAATTGTATACCTTCCACAAAGTGTTTCATCAGAAATAATGGGATGAAATTAAGCAATACAAAAATGTAGGCTGAGAGTTGAAAATTTTATCCCACGTGTGAGTCCCATTAAACGGTGAAATGTTACTGAACCTTCCCCAGGGAGTAGTCAAATGTGTATTTCTCAGGACATTTAAAATTGGACTGGACAGACACCCCGTCCCCAATACTGTGGGGGATAATTGCAGGCCCCCTCACTTCAATGGGCCTTACAGATCTTTCTGAGTTTTAATTTCGGTGGGTCATCCCTAACCCAGCAAAACTGTTTAATTTCAATAGAGGACTTTCTTATCTAAGGCACCTCTAAGTTTGAACCCTACAGGCCTTACATCTAGGTATTATAAGGGATATTTTTAAGACACCAGCCTCTTCTAAAATCAGAGACTGGCTTGCCCTGCCTCCCCTTGGACGCCGCATTTATTGCTGCCATATTAATCATGTACTCAAACGATGCTTCGGCCACCACTTTCCTTGGTCTCAAAAAAGGCACCTGAATAAAACAGAGACCTCACTGTGCCTACACAGCCGTGGGTTTGCTGAACATCTCCCTACAAGCTGGGTGGTACCCAAATGTAATCAGTCTGACTGGTGTACAACAGCTTGATAGCAAATTACATCAATTGATAATCCACTTGTCATTAGAGTGACAGCTCAGCGCTGACAGTGACAACCATCACCGGTCCCCGACAGGCAGCCAGGCAGGTCTCTGACAACAACCTTCCCCGCCTCGCATAATTTTTCAGCACGTTACTTTGTCACGTTAGTATTATATTGTCTCTGGCCGTATCATTTTCAGGAGTGCAAGGCGAATGTCACGGCGCTGATTTCCGAGGTAGCCCTCTCCTTCCGGAGGGCGCATCCTCCCATCGCCGTCCCCCCAGCATGGGGAGCCGCCGGCCCCAGGAGCTGCTCTGCTACATCTTCTTAAAAACAGAGAGTTTGACACAAACAGCTCCGTATTTTAACAAAGAAAAAGTGAAAAGGGCCACTGGCTGGTGTTATTTATGTGGACAGAAGTTTGGAGATATTCTGGATATATTTAGGTATTAATGAGAACTTGGTCCTTTAACAATTTTTAATAACAAATATATAAGCCTAATGGATTTTCCAGCTACTGTTTTCAGCCATGAAGGTTGGAACCTTTTTGGCTAATGTCTTCCAGAGCTGAAGGAAAGGAAATTAGCTAAAGGCAGGGAATAATGTTCTGCAAATGAGGGTCTTTGCCCCCACTTCACTCACATAAGCGGTCCAGATGAAGCTGAGGGAGTCACAGGTGAAAGTTTCTTTATGGATCAAGGAAAAAAGAAATTAAAAGGACATGAAGAGATGGATCTGAGTGTCTCCCTGATAAAACAGTGTTCAGTCCCATCATTCACCTTCCACTGACGATGCTGAGGGCCATATTGCTGGAACAGGAATCACCTTCTCTCTGGACACACGAATGCCAGCAACTTAATAAAAATGGTGAAATTGCAGGATGTGGCTGGGCCTGCACAGCCCTGATGGTTTATAAAGGACTTAGACCATGGCTAAATTCCTGCATCTCCATCCAGGCCCAGGGCCCAGTGAGCAGGCAGCCTGTGGGCCCTCAGCAAGGGGCAGCGGGACGCAGAAACCCCACCCTTGGGCAAGACAGCTGAGCTGGTGAAGCAAAAATTGTTTAATATCAATAGAGATAGGATTTCTAGTTTGCATAGAGAAAGCAAAAATCCCTCTGCCCGTGGTTCCTGAGCTGGTGTTCGCGTTCCTTCCAATGGTAAAATCCCAGCATGACCCACGAGGCTGAAAGGAAGGAGACAAGAAGGATTTTACATCAGAAAAGTGCATCACAGGCAGGATGTGAATTAAATACCTTTGAGGCATAGAATTGACACTTATTTTGAAGGCTTTGTTCAATGCTTACATGGCTGTGGGAGTGTTGCCGTAGATGCCGGGGGGCTCTCCAGGCTGTTTTCCAGATCCAACTGAGGCAGTTTTAGTTGAGTGTTGGGTTCCCATTACAGACTCTGCTGCAGTCAGCTGCTTTCACAGTCTGAACATCTCTCCATGTATTTAGCCTAAATTGTCTTTAGCTAGATTTCACCCACTGGTGGTACCCTGGTCCAGCTGCCCCCTGGTATGGATTATTTTTTTTGTGGGTTTGCTGGTACTGAGTACAATTCAAAGAGCGTGTGCCTCTGGTGCATTCAGAAAGGGAACTGGAAAGACAGGCAAGCTCCACCGAGCTCTGGCAACCTACTGAAGATGACTGCAGTAAGGAAAGGTGTCTCGTGGCTGATCCACGGTGGTAGTTTTAGCTCAGCTGAGAAGCCCGAGGAGATGCTCAGCAAGCCGGGAGAAGCACACTCCTACAAGCACTTGCTCTTTCGCTCTGGAGAAGTCAGGACCCCCCTCCTCGGAGCTCCAGCATCTGTGATTTGTAGCTACCTCCTCTGCTCCTCTGCCCTCCTCAGCATCAAACAGAGGGTCAGGCTGGCTGGGCTGGGACACTGGGTTGAGGGAGAGGAACACCTTTATGCACAGAGGAGCCCAGGAGACACGTGCAGACATGGTTTCTTCTCCTCCATTCCTGTTTCTTAAGAACAGAACCGGCAGCTTTACCCCCCCTTCTTCACGCTAAAAAAGAGAGCTGGAAAGCATTCGCGGAGCCAACTTTCTAAGGGGCTCAGCCCCACATTAGGGATTCCTTTCAGGTCGGGGACTATTTGGGGTTGTGCTCTTTCCCAGTCGCCTCCGGGAGGGAGGAAAAGACGGGCGGGGGGAGCCGGCGGAGGATGGAGCACCCGCAGCTTGGCCCCTCTCCCCTTGCGCGCAGCATCCCTCGGGGGCTTGAGGGAGGGGTGGGGT